TCGAACCACCGCGTCACGAACCCCAGGAACAGGCCCAGGCCGATGGCGATGAAGGGCAGGCACGCGTGGCGCGGGCTGAACCCGAACGACATGTAGATCGGGGGCAGCGCCTGCGTGAACAGGTACACCAGCGCGATGGCCACGGCGCTCATCACCGCCACGATGAACACGATCAGCTCCGTGCACAGCAGCCGGATCGGCCGGAACAGCGCCAACCGCACAAAGGTGTGCAGGTCCGGCGCCTGGTCTGGGTTCAGCGCCTCCGGCGTGCCGGGGATCTGCGTGACCTGCCGGAAGAGCGCCACCTCCCGCGCCAGCAGCAGCGACGGCCGCGACTCGCGGATGGTCAGCAGCAAGAACGCCAGCACCCCGGTCACCATCGCGGCCACGTAAAATAGCCATCGCCTGTGGTTTCGTTAGTGGCACCTTCTCTAGAGTAACCTCTCTTCTTGATGAAGAGGACAGGGAAGGACACACCAGTTCATATCCGCCACGACAAAAGTACTCAGAATCGGACCGACGACCATCCCCAGATTGGCAGCTTGCACCCAGATGCAGATCATCCACACGCGCTCCCGCGAGTTGAACAGATCCTCAATGCTGCCGCCCACCACCGTCGTGGGGATCGCCGACAGAATCCCGCTCATGAACCGCCCAATGATCACCCCAGCCATCGACGGCACCGAGGCCACCACCACACACGCCAGGCTGTACAGCGCGGAGCTGACGACATACAGCTTCTTCCGACCGAACGCCTCCGAGTACGGCGGGAAGATGATCCCCCCGCACGCCTGACCGATCAGGTACCTACGAAGTCAGCACACCCCAGGCTCTGGGCAAACGGACGGCAGATACTCACACCGACACAAAGAGGAAGATCGACAGCTCCTGCGGGACATCAAACTCGCGCACGGCACTGTTGGCGGCGGTGGACTGGACACGTCAGCTCCCTAAACATCACTCCACGAATTGCAGACTTACCCCCGCCGTGCTCACTGCCGTCCTGAAAGTACAATATACCCTCATGGTCAGCCACAGCAAACAGTACTGCACCACCACCCCACCGATAAGACTCACGTAAAGAACTCCAGGAATAGAATCAGCGCGATATCCCAGATCTTCCTCCGCAGCCTCCAATTCCGTGGATGTCGACCGTTGCCAACCGCCCACCGGATGTGCACGCCGTCCGCAGCCATACGAAGGCCATACTGCGGGAGCAGGGACTGCAGAACATCTTTCTCGGACTCGATCGAGGACGTGGTGATTTGGCTGGTGGGCTTCATGGCTTGGGACAAAACGAAGTCTTGCTCAGCTCAACGTTGACCGGACATCATGTCTCGGCAAGCAAAGGGGTCCACGGCCGTCTGTATTTATTCAAGCTGGCATCGAGCCCTGTGGAACGCAAGCACGGACTTAACCGGACGTAATTCACCACGGAAAGCTCTGGGCCATCTGATCTCATAAGTCCTCAGTCGGGTCTTTCTGTGGCGAGGCTAACGCCTGGGTGGAGTCCACTGCTGCCCTCTCGATTATCCCTCATCTTGACCTGTGCCATCCTCGGGACGATGAGGAGTCTATTCTCCTGAAATGCACGACCCAGTGCCACGAATAAACAGTCAGAAGTCGTCGGCCTATCATCGATCGGCTTTTACCCGACAAATCGCTGCGGGATACGCCTGTACTCCAGTGCGGATCGACGTATACGGCCTTCAGCATGGTACTACTTCGGAAGCGTGACGGGAGAGGCTTTGCATGTGCTTGGTTCTATTCGTTGCATCCGTGGCTCTGGAGGTGTCCCTGCAGTCTCATGTCTCAGGTCATTTATTCTCTTAGACTAGCTCCTTATCGCCATCCACCCTAGGAATCTATTAGTCTGGGCCATACCTGGCTACATGTTCCCAAGCTCTTTCTCATTCCAAATCTCCGTCGTTATCTCCATCGCCATCCCCATCTCCCTGGTGGTTGTCTGCTCTTCCGTTTCCGTTATATGCCAAGAGATTCGGGCTTCCAGCGGTATTAGTGACTACGTTCCGTGTGGCCAATGCCTTCAAGCGGGCCGTCACCGCAGCTGGCGTAGACAGGTTCTCAAGCGCCATGAGGTACATCGTCAGACCAGCAACGTGGGGCGTGGCCATTGAGGTCCCCGAGATGCTCCGAGTCGTCGTGTCTGATCCTATCCAAGAGGACAGAATATCCTCGCCGGGAGCAAAAATGTCGACAAAGGCGCCGTAATTAGAGAAATTGGAGCGGGAATTACGTCGGTTGATGGCGGCGACGGTAACAGCATCCGGGGCAGACGCGGGGCTCGTTCGCGAGGCATCTCTCTGTTTCCCTTCAGTGATTACTCCGAACATGAGGCTGTGAGTGACATACATTTTCGTTGCCTGCAGCGACAACAGAGAGCACTCCCTCATCGAAAGCATTTCCCACCGCATCGTTGAACGTGCTGGAATAGCTTCCACCTATGCCCGTAGTCAGCGATAGAGTCACACAAACAACACACAGAATATACCCAAGCTCATATTGATCACAGATTTGCTCGTGCGATTCTTGCTCACGATATCATTGACAGCCCAGTTGAAGCCATCAAGGATGACCGAGGTAGAGCTGGATTCTCCAACAAAGACCTTCACCGAAACCAGAGTCGCTCTCTTCGCCACGCCGTACGTTCGTCCACCAATGATTCCGGCAACATGGGTCCCGTGTCCAACACCATCGACATGCTGTCCTCCAGCAGCATTGTATGCCAAGAGGACGCGACCACCGAATTCGTCATGAGAGCTCAAAATGCCTGTATCTACGATATAAGCATAGGTGCCAATCCCGGCACTATCGTCATAGACGTAGTCAGTGCTAGTCTGTCCTCGATGCGAGATGCATCCTAGGCCCCACGGCGCATTGTGCTCGGTGACCAGTCCGTCGAGATCCCAGACCTGGTCTTCCTCGACGTTCGCAATCTATGAATCAATTAGATTACCGCCAGTTGCGCTCGGAAGGTCAACAAGAACAAACATCTGCATGTTGGCGAATGGCCGCAATGGTGGCATCGTCGAAGGAACCAGCGTATGCAGCAAACCTGTTGATTTTGTAATATCTCTCGATGCCAGCTGGAAGGTCTCCGTCAATAAAACTACGGCCTTCAAGGTGCCGCCTGTGAAGGTTGGTCGCCCAAGCGGTATGCTCGTCGATCTTGGCATCGTCGGTTCCCGGTTTGAAGGTGACAATATACTTCCCCGGAATCGTCTGCAGAGTCTGGCGACTTTCGAGCGTCGGCGCAGCAAGCACGGCAGATAAAAGGGATCCGAAGACCAGCAGGAAACTTCTCAATGAGACCATTGTGGATCATGCAAAGTAGAAGAGAAAATACACCCCTTAGAAAGTTCGAGCAATGTACAAACGTGCTAGGGAGCTCGCCTTATATACCTTCAGCATTGCAAGCTTCGTCTAAAATTGTTAGCCTATCACTTACATGGCCGCCTGCCTTGCAATAGAGCGAGACCAGGGCCCAAGATCTCTGAGCATGTTTAAAACTCTGGGGGTAACATTGCATTCTCAGACGACTTAGTTGTGTCCTATTAGGCAAGACGCCATGCACACCATGCGTGATTTTGGGCCGACGCAAAGGACCAGGGATCGCGGTGACAAGCGGCGCAGAGCTTATTTCTCCGACCCCAGAAAGGCCTCGAGTCAAACCAATCTGGACATCGTCCACCGGATTAAATGGCACACTCTCATTCATGCAAGCCTTGTGGCTTTGACGGTTCCACTGCTGGCCGGCGATGGCCCTGGCATGTCGTATTCAGAACAGCATCCCTTATTCGTTTCCAGACGAACTCTTAATTCTATAATGAGAGAGACAAGCAGAAGAAGCTCTCGTTGCCAGGATGTTGCGCAAGGAGCCCTGGAAAACGGGGGAATGCTTAACCACTTGTCCGAAAATCGGTGCGACCCTCCCTGGGGAGCTGATTTCTCACGAGGTAAAAACCACTGCATGCGCTTATCATCTGTCAAGCAAGTCTGGATACCGATTGGGCGATCGAGAGATTATCAGTAAACAAGAAAGGATAGAGACCACGGCCTAGGATTATTCCTACACTGCCCTTCTAAGTTCGAGGGTCGTACAGTGAGCTCAGGCGCGTTGATCATCCACAGCAGACTGGACTTTCCAGACGATCTACCCCTCTTGTAGGGCGAGGAGCCAGCTTGCCGGTCCGACGTGCTTGTGATAACGCGAGGCCCCTCCCACCAAGTCAGTTACGAAAGCTTGGTACGACCAACCTGCCCCTGAGGATACGCATGTGCCTGGGAAGTCTTCTGATGTGTCGAAACCTAATCATGGCCTTGATGCGAATCTGACTGAAGAAGAGGGCAGCGGGCAAGTGGTTCATTGGTGGTTATTCCTCATCGAGCCGTGGCGATGGGGTTCACGACGGCCAAGACAGCTGACGGTAGTTCAGTTGGCGAGGCATCTGGACGTCTGGCTTAGCACAACTTGACACTTGTACTAGAGTCAGAGTCAAAACCCCATTGATGAAAGGTGGCCGTCAGGAACAGGTTCTACCAATTGTAGGCGGCAATACTTGTGGTATGGTCCTGAGATCACTCGCAGTGGACATCGTTCACGATTCTGCGGGGTGACAGACTGATGGCCCTCTCCTGTCTGCTTCTCTGCAGGGTCTCGACGCAGCCAAGGCCCTCGCACACGTCTGGTGACGGAGGTTTTCTGAACAGGCCTTGGGCGCAGTTCGAATAGATACGGTTGCATCAAGGCAGCCATCGAGACTGTCGTGACCGGAAAGAAGGCCCCTTGAGCCAGTCGGATAATTTCATCGGATGCAACAATTGGAGGTGGAAGAGGAGGATTGGTGTAATGGGAGAGTGTGGCAGGCACGGTCTGACCGGAGTTGTTATTGTTGTGTTTGGTTGCACCGAGTCCCGTGATCCCGGCTGGTCAGGTTTATGTCAGGCACAGGGCAACCCATTGGACCGTACAGCATGCTCTTCAGGCGCGAATACTACGTGAGATCCAGTTGATTCATTTAATGTAATGGAGAAGTAAACAGGACATAAGGAGAGAGAGTATGTCAAATTCAACAGCGAACTATCTCCCTCTTTCTCTTGACATGCGCAGGCTTCCCTCATCTGCAGCCATTTGCATGCATGCAACTATCCACCCTATGTCCAATGACCCCGCCTAGAACATTTTGAGAAGAAGAATCCCATTTACAGGGACTTCTTCCCCGCAAACCTCTTGTCGGCCTCCTGGTTGGCGAACGGGAAGCCGCTGCTCCGCTTATCGACGCCAGTCTTGCGGTTGATCTTGCCCCCGCTGCTCGCAAACAGCGCGCACCACACCCCGACGAAGGCAATGGCGGCGTATCCGATCATCCCGACCGCGTAGGCAATCTGACCAGTAGCCACCCACCAGATGTATGCGTATCCCGCTGACGCGCCGTGGAAGACGGTCGTGACCATCATGGTCGGCACGGCATAGGGGGCCTTGGGGTCGGAATCGTCCGTGGTGACGGGTTGCGCAATGGAGGTGGTCAAGGGCACGGACCCGGTGAGCATGACGGTGAGAACGGCGATGAGGAGTAGACTGAATCCCAAGCAGCGGGAGAAGTACGTTTCGAGCGCTGTTGCGGGTTAGCCATTGGCAGCTGGAGAGACAATCTGTCTGCCGGTTACTCACAGGAAGGGTCGCGGGTTTCGGTCAACAACATTGTGGTCATCATCTCCGGCACAGCGATCAGAGCCAAGCTCTGGAGTCCAAGCCAGCCGGCTGTGGAGTAGGTGTAGGCGTAGAAAACCTGCAGCGCGCGGAATGGTTAGCTCTGTTGTATGGTTGGAGACCGGGACAAGGACAGTCGTACATCCATGATGCGGAGGTAGCTGATGTCTTCTGGCGGTGTTCAATTGTGTTTCGGTTCGGGGGCGTGTTTAAATTCTCTGGTGATCAGGTTGTTGAAGGGAAATGGAACCAGTATAGGCAGCAATTAGAGGTAGTTATAAGTTGTTGTAAGGCAGGGATCATTCCCCATGAGGTCATCGCTTGTTCAGCCCCGATGATGTCACCGCCGGTTTTTCCGCGGATTCAGCCTGGCTCTTTTTTTCTACGTATTCTTCTGTTGTCACTACAACAAAATTCAGGCGAAGAAATGAGAAAAAACAAAAGGGGGAGAGAAGACGAACTTGCAAGTTCCAAGCTGGCAGTCCATAGGGCAGGGGCGGGTTGCTGCAGGTTGAACTGAGCTGGCACTACTACACCCACTGCCATCGGACCATGAACCCCAAGCATCTCCACCATGGCTATAATTCTGATCTGTTATTGTTCACGGTCAAGCCATGAAGAACGATCCAGTCTTCCCAACGTGGACTAGTTGGGTCTATGTTTGGAAATGGATCAAATTGCAATTACCACACCCGAATCATCATTGTCTATGTAAATTGCCATGGCTAGATTCAAATCTCCACCATCAACGCCTTTTCAAACCCCCAGAGAAAGGAAAAACGTGCAAGGTCGACCCATGGTCAGGTATCACTGGTTGATGTTGCTCGCGCGCAGGTATCTGGCAAAGCTTAGATCCTGGTCGGAGGGCGCGGTGCCCTGTTCCGCCAGCGCGTCCTTGTAGCGCTGCGTAAGCCCTTCACTGTCCCCCGCACGAGGGATCCTGTAATCGTCTTCACTGTCCTCATCGTCATCCTGGTCGTCATTCCTGCGTGCCTCCTCTTCCTCTTCAGCCTCGCTAACCGTCTCGGCCTCGTTTTCGACCTTCTGCTTGCCCTTGCTCGAGCCGGAGACGTTCATATCCTTCATGAGCTTGCCCAGCTCGAGCTCGCGTTGCGCCGCCTTCGTCTCCTCACGCTCCTTCCTCTTGCGCTCCAACTCGGGCTTGTAATCGCGTTCGAACTCCTGGCGCTTTTCTTCCACGGCCTCGAAGAATTCGTCGATACCTTCACCCGTCATGGAACTGACTCCAACCAGGTTCAGGTGTCGGTAGAACTCCTCCAACATTAAGCTCATGCTGTTGAGCAGTGAGCCCATGTAGCCACTTCCTGAACCGAAGCCACCCGCGGCGCCCTCAGTACCAAACGCGCCCGACTCTTCTTCCTCCCGCAGGGCCTTTTGGAAAGCATCGAAATCGGTCATCCACTCCTTGGCGAATTCGGCATCTTGGACATCAGTCTTGTTGAAGACAAGGATCATGGGCAACTTCGTCTTGTATAGGATACTGCAGGCGTAGAGCATGTTACTCATAAAGGTACTCGTGGAGCTAGCGCGGGGGGTATCAATAACGTAAGCGATCACAGTAGGGAACGACGAGGCCAAAGTCTCGAGGAGGATGCTGCCGGAGGCACTCCACACGAACACCTCGATCTGACCAGGCGTGTCGACCAGGATGTGCTCGATGGGCTTCGCGGTCGGGTTGCTGGGATTGGGAGCCGTGCGCTTCTCCAGCAACGAGATGATTTGATCGACTTTGGTAGCAAATAGATTCAGAGATGTGAGGATACCGCCGTTGGGTCCGAGGTTATACTGCTTCATAACCTCTCGATAGTTGATGGAGTCACGGATGTCGATGTTGCTCTCGAAAGGAACCGTGTGAACGGCGGGGTCAAGGTTGAGGACATAGGGAATGGTCTTCTTCGAGTGGAGGTAGGAGTTAATTCGCTGCATGAAAGTCGTCTTTCCAGAGCCTGAGTGAAACATACATCGGATTGATTAGATGCATCGTCAGTGAGGGGGATGATCACCATGACACTTACCTGCCATGCCCACGCAGACAACGGCGACCGGAGACTGTGCCATCGTGACGACGAGGTAAAAGATCACTGAGTAAAGATCAAAGACAGGAAGGGAAATTAGAGCAATCCAGTCAGTGGGTGTCAATAGTTTTGGTTAACAAGGGTAACGATGGGAAGCAGAGTATCCGTTGGGACGGCGAGGCGTAGAAATTCTTTTGTCGCGGGGAATTGCAGGTGGAGTCCGTTTGGCCGGAAGCGTTCCAGACGTCATGGCGTTTCTCCGCCGCCGCCTTTTTCCCTTGCTTCGCTTTCTCCCCCCCAACAAGACGAGCTCGGCCTCACTTTCATCCCAACACCATGGCGCTAGAGGATTTCGAAAAATCGCTAGCAGAGGAACAGGAGAAGAGACGTGAGAGAAGCGATAAAGACAGACACCGCCACCACCGTGACCGAGACAGGGACCGCAGCCGCGAGCGCTCGAGGCACCACCGTCACCACCGCCGTTCATCCCGATCGAGAGAGCGCGACCACGACAGGCATCGCGAATCGCGTCGTAGCGACGATACTAGTCACCGACACAAACGCTCGCGCCATTCAACCGACCACGGGGACGATCGCGACCATGATCATAAGCGCCGACACAGGGATAGCAGGGACGAGGAAAGGAAACCGGCAGCCGAAGCAGCCGAAGTGGCTCAGGATGAGGCTCCCAAGCTAAAGCGAGATGCTTGGATGGAGGGACCCTCCAGTCTCGATATCGACTATGTCCAGCGGCGCTCAACCACGCGTTTGGAAGAGGAACCGAAACCCAAGATGCTTTCGGCAGACTACGAGCTGAAAATCCATGGTCGGGAGATCAACACCCATCTACGCGATCTGAAGGACGGAAAGGTTCTGGAGGAAATTGAGGAGAAACCCGCTCAGCATGAGGTTGACTACACATTTGGCGACGCGGGCTCGCAATGGAGAATGACCAAGTTGAAAGCTGTGTATAGGGAGGCAGAGGACACCGGATTGTCGGTGGAAGAGATTGCGGTTAACCGATTTGGAGATCTCCGCTCATTCGATGACGCGCGCGAGGAGGAGGCAGAGCTAGATCGCCGCGAAAGATACGGTGAAGGATATGTGGGCAAGGAGAAGCCCTCGGGCGAGCTCTTTCAGGAGCGGAAGCAACAGGAGAACGTTCACCGTGCCGCGCATGAGCACCTTCGCAGTCCTACCAAGGAGCTCAATGCTGAAGGACAAGGCAAACTAATGGAGACCGTCCCGCCTCAGAACACCACCCAGCATCTTGATTTGACAGCACTCAACCGACTCAAGGCTCAAATGATGAAGGCCAAGCTCAAGGGTGCGTCAGATGCCGCCGAGCTCGAGGAGCAGTACAATGCCGCCGCTGCTGCCATGGCCAACCGCAAGGAGTCAGACGTCGTGGTCCTGGGCGTCATGGAGAACCGGATGCTGGCTGGAAAGAGGAACGAAGTGAAGGCAGTTGAAAACAGACGAGGTCGCGAGCGAGGCAAGGTGGAAGACAACGATGATATGACCATTGAAGACATGGTCCAAGAAGAACGACGGACGCGCGGACAATATGGAGGAGACGGCCGTCGTATCGCGGAGAGAATCGCCAAGGACGCCAAATTCGAGGTGAGGGCTTCTACTAGCATATCGATATCACCCGCTAACATTTCACCCAGAATGATCTCGAATACATGGACGACAATGCGTCCAAGCTTGCCCGTCGGGTGCACCGCTCCGAAATTGACATCAAGAATACCACGATAAATGAGCTGCACAAGATGAACAAGATCCTCAACAATTGTCCCCTATGTCATCACGAAGACACGAACACGCCTCCTATCGCGCCTGTCGTCTCATTGGCGACAAGGGTTTACCTCACACTCCCCACTGAACCCGAGCTCAGCGACCAATGTGCCACCATCGTTCCCATCCAGCACCGGACGAATCTATTGGAGTGCGACGACGACGAGTGGGAGGAAATTCGCAATTTCATGAAGAGTCTGACACGCATGTACCACGACCAAGGCCGGGACGTGATCTTCTACGAGAACGCAGCCCAGCCCCATCGCAAGCGACACGCAGCAATGGAGGTGGTCCCCCTCCCTTATAGCCTCGGCGAGACATCCCCAGCCTTCTTCAAGGAGGCCATCTTGTCATCTGACGCAGAGTGGTCTCAGCACCGTAAGCTGATCGATACCCTTGCCAACTCTAAGAAAGGCATGGGGCGGAGTGCTTTCCGCCGCAGCATTGCCAAGGAGATGCCGTACTTCCACGTGTGGTTCAGTCTGGACGGCGGCCTGGGCCATGTGGTGGAAGATGAGAATCGCTGGCCGCGTGGGGACCTGTTTGCTCGGGAGGTCATCGGAGGGATGTTGGATCTGGGTCCGGAGGTGATCAAGCGGCAGGGCCGCTGGCAACGAGGCGGCGATCCCCGAGTGCCGGGGTTCCAGAAGCGTTGGAGGAAGTTTGACTGGACTCGAGTACTTGTTGAGGGATGATTTCTGTGTGAAATAATGGGGAGAGCTATGCCTTGCACAAAAGTCTAGTCACACGAGCTGGGACATGCAAATGAAAAATGAAGCATAACATAACATCTCACTTTGCTCTCACTTCGTGAGCCGTACGATACTTCATACAATATCCCCCTCCTTTCACTTCTCTTAAAATATCTGGTCTGGTCTCATTTCTCTTCTCTCCACATCTCATCACATCCAACGCACCATCCTCTATAAACATCCAGGATTCAGCTTCAAACCATCACAATCCAGTCAATCCATCATCTCATCCTCCAAACCACACAAAACCCATCCAGCAAAATGACCCCCAAAGCCAACACCAGCCAAAAGCGCAAACGCATCCCCACCAAAGTGATGGAATCCAAAAAACAGCGCAAGACAAAGAAAACCAACACCCTCAAGACCAGCGCACCACCATCATCCCCGGACACCCAATCCCACGCCACCATAACACCCCCCCAAACCCCAACACCACCGCGGTCATTCTCGGTCGGAACCCTCTCCCCCAGCGACAAAGCCGCCCACAACCGCCTGCAGCAGCAGATCCTCGCCGAGACCGAGATCCTACACGTCTACCTCCGCAGCCTCCGCAACCGGCTCACGCAGACGCCCTCGCGCGACGCACAGTACGCGATCTGCAAAGCCAACGCCAAGGGCATCGCAGCGCAGTACGCGATCCTGGCGGACCTGAGAACGGAGCTCGAGTATTTCGGACGCAGCATCGAGCTGCATGCGCTGGATGCGGCGGCGGCAGCGAAGCAGAAGACAACCGGCGAGCTGCAGAGTCCCAGCTGGGCGGAGGTGGTCGCGGCATGGGGCCAGCCGGTCGCGGATCGTGTGAGGCGCTACACCCATTCCATTACCTTCTGCATGTCCCTGGTTTGGTTCGCCAAGCGGGGGTTCGAGTGGAAGACTGTCGCGAATTTGCTGGTGACGGCGGTGATCAGCCGGCTGGAAGACTCCAGGCGGCCGAGTCAGCTGGCGCTACTGACGGCGGATGCGGTCTACGCGAAGAACCGGATCCCGCGGCCTGCGCCGGTGCTGGCGGCGAAGGATGTGCTCAGGGTCGGGTGTCGGTTGGATCGGTTTGGGTTGTTGGTGCAGGTTTCGGTGGAGGAGAGGGAGTGGGCGAGGTTCTTGTAGGTTCGTCTGACTTGGTCCGTATGGGTGAGAGGAATACAACTATGAGCTTGGGTTTGTAGCAGGGGTTTTCGATAGTTGATGATCGGTTTGTGACTATGGCTGGAGGTATACTTGGGGAGGTGAAGATGTGCAAGCATTGAAGCATGTCAAGCAGAAATGTGAGCTATCAGGGATAATGGAAGGCACAGGCTTGGCTTTCAAGTAAGGTCTCCTTCTGCAAAGTTCCCCAGCAAACAGTTTTCTTGTCACCACTCTCACGCACAGTGATCTATGTGAAGAAAAGGAGGGAATGCAAGTCACGGGACTGCATGGCATGCATATAGATTCAAGATCGACCCATTCGAGTGTAGCATGTGTGGAGCGTTAATAGTACACCAGCCTTAAAGTGAACTCTATGCGAGCATGCCGATAGGTTAGAACATTCCCTGCAAAGAGCCAATCGTGGGCAACTACTAGTAGGTACGGTACCTAATGTATCTACCTGGAGAGGAGTGAATCTGCTTTCATGCAGGTACAAGACACTGGCACTGTTGTCAGCAATTGTGAGCCAATGGAAAAACAACCGGCATCAGCATTGATCAGCCGGGATGGGCAGATCAACGGGGCCAACGTTCTCCCACCCGAACCATGTGCCCGGGCGTCTAGAAGGATTAGCCATGACAGTACTATTAAATTGCATGTCCGCTACAAGAAAATACATGAACCGCTTGGACTTTTCTATGGCAGTCCAACAACATCGGCCAATCTGCCTCAGAGTATGCGACCAAGTCCCGTAACCTTCTCTGAGCCCTGACAAGGAGCGAAGCCAATAGGGTCTGTCTGATTACCATACATCAACAAGAGAATGCGAGAAACTAGCGAAGACCCTTCTCCGGTTGACTTATACTCTCACAGAGGAAAAACAATGGAGTTCTTCTCAGATCGCGTCTCAAAGTACCACGGTCCACGCACAGCCTTGAGTCAGGCAAACCAGGGGCCCCCGGCAACTCATTGGACATGTTTGATGACCCTTCAGATAGTGTACGATAGTGTACCTGAGCAGCCCACGGAACAGCCGATGCCAATGGAGCAGCCCAATGGGAGACCCCACCCCGAGTTCAAGTTTCAGGGCCCGCACGCAACAATTGGCCTCACCAAGAATTTCATTTCCTCGGACCCCACGCACAGGACCCAAACACAGTCCAATCCACCGGCGAGGCTGATGAGACGACACGACGACGGGGGGGAATGAGAGCCAAGCATCGCAAAGTCAAATTGGCCGCAGTAGTTCAGGAGTTCATGTATGGTGGGTTGGAGGCGCAAAACTCTTCCTACCGGAACAGGCATGGTGTGTCAGCGCTAGGACTGCTATCTGGAGGCTCCCATTGGCCGGCTCGCTAATGACGTCACTGACACCTGAACCATACGCTTTGCGGACTAGCGGGGGATGCGATGGAGATGCTTGGCGCTGCGATATACTCCTGCACCGAGACCCCGAAATAGACATTTCGAGCTGGATGAGTGGAGGGCAACATAAACAGAGATTTCAGCTGGGGAAGGGGGGACAGAAGGAGGAGTTGGGGGTATATAAGCATGCGATCCTCGCGGATCCTGGGAGAAAGTATCCCAGACCAAAGCATTCATTCTCTTTGCGCATCATCCAGTCATTCGTTTGATTCGTCCTTACTATACTCTCTTTTTGTTTCGATCGCTACTTGTGTGTTGTATCACTGAGCCTATATACCGATACTTCACTTCTGGATATACACTAAGCTTCCTTCATTCCTTCACAAAGTGAGTACACGTCCTTCAGCCTCCGGGATCACTCACTTCCCTCACTTATATACAATGATCACCAATACTAACCACCACAAACCCCCAGTCACACACACAACCATTCACAATGATCGACAAATCCGCCATCATCGTCTTCGTCATCCTGGGCTGCGTGGTCTCCGTCCTCATCGGATACTCCATCCACTCTGTCGCCACGGGCGGGTTCCGCAACGACGAGCAGGAACGAGAATTCTCCCACGAACAGCGCTCCTACATGCGGGAGTTGCGCCTCCGCGACATCAACTGGATGGCACGCGACAATGGCCTGCGATACAACCCGGAGCCGCCCCGCGATCTGGAGAAGCAATGATACATAATGGTTACTTAGAGCGTTTGGTGCATTTTCGGTGTTCAGCATTCAGGTGTTTGGTTTTTGGGTTGGGGTGCAGTGGGAGTTGTGCCGTCTGCAAGATATTTCCGTTTTGGGATGAGTGTATTATAGTGTATTGGGTATATAATTGTGTTGGGCAATAACTTGTTATATTCTGTCAAACTGCCAGGTGGAATCCTGGGTATACTTAACTTTGGAGATGGGGAGCAATAGGCACCTTTGACTATTGTGACCGAGCTGAAGAGGTCCTTACCTGCGAACGTTCAGTAACCCAATGTAGTGAGCAGTTCTTACCTCATATCGAGAAATCAAGCTCCTACAATTTGTCCGCCTAGTATATTCAGGTATCCCTCATCCTGCACAGATGCTGCCGAGGTTTATCACAGTGCGCCGAGAGATCTACACGGAAATGAAGAATGCAGCGATCTATATCTCCAGCATGCTCAGCGTGCCCACCATCATGAAGGAGTGCTGACAATTGTGGTATAAACCCAGCCCAAAGTTTACAGAATTACCACTGCACTTTCCAGAGAGCATCACTATCATCGGGATAAATGCCTGGCGGACGCACAAATGCATGATATGCCGCCGAGTGGTGCCGCTCCTGCGCGATCGCCGCATACAGAGAACCAGGGCAATTCGACCGCGCATACATCCAGCCAAGCACCGGCGCCCGTGACCCTTCCACCTTGTCGAAGAACGTCAGTAGAATCTCATCCTCGGGCTTCCAATCCTCCTCATTTTCATCCTCTGGCGGCTCTTTGTGAATTTGCCCATCCGTCCATTCGGGTCGGTGGTATCCACGATATTTGTCGGGCGTCCAGTCCCTCTCTAGCACGATCATGGGAGCACCATGGTGCTGTTCTTCCGACCGTGCCGCTTGAAATTGCTCCAGACAGTAATCATCGACGACCAAGCACATTCGATACTGCGGCACCTCCTCATCTCGCATCGCCACCGCACCAGGCCCGTCCCGTTCTTCGGTGGTGTCGGAGACCCATTCTGCAAAGCGGGTGCGAATAGCCTCGCGTGTCGCAGGGCCAATTCCCAGTCCCCCATCCCTGTTCTCATCCAGGATGGGCACGTCGGGCTGGATGATTGGGCAGTAGAACCGGGGGAACAGCGCGTCGGTTTGACCCGGGTTGGTCTCAACCCGCGCAGTACGAAAGTTCTCATCCTTGCGGAATTCAGTGTAAATCCCGCGGTACAAGTTGATTAGATAGGCTGACCACAGCTTCTCCTTATTCTCTACGTTGGTGGGCGAGGTGGTGAACGCTCGGAAAATCGGGAACCCCCAAGTCCTGCCATTGAAACGCTGAAGAAGTGTGGAGATATAGGTGAGGTAGTTCTCTTGATTGCGATGAAGAAGGTCTGGAGGAAAGTTAAGGGGGACATCTGTGAGAGGAGGACCTTTTGGGATGGTGACGCGGTTGATGTCCTCCTGGGGGATGGTATACCAGGGGTGGAAGTGGTATCGTTGGATTAGTGGGCCATGCAGATGGGGATTGAGGATGGGCTTCCTCAGGACTGTCAAGGAGCGGTGCAGGCGCATTGTAGCGGGCTCTCTCCCGTTGGGTTTTTGAGACAGAGAAAGAATACGGAAAGATCATACAGGTAGAGCCCGGGCAGGAATGGTTTCAATATATATTGTACCTGGTGCTTAAATTTACCTAGATCTATGCGTCCACGGTCGAGGCCGCTCTTGCCCGTCTAGGGCTAGCGCCATCCGCACTTGTGGGGCGAGCATGAGCGACCGACCGAGTGACGCTCCGACCCGTCGCAGTTCGCAATAAACCCACCCAAGGCCTGTCCGAACTGCCTCAATCTCCGTCAACTCTCACCATTTTTCCTTCTCACGCTCAATCTTAGCCTTCTTGGTGAGAACTGGGCTGACACACGACAGCATGGCAGAATACTGGAAATCAGCAGTAAGCTTCCTTTCTCCCCTTCCTCTCAGCGCCCTCCGTTGCCCTCCCAAAAGCTCAAACCAGGCCACCTACTAAACTCAATCTCTGCGAAGCCAAAATACTGGTGCAAGCAATGCAAGATCTTCATCCGCGACACCCCCTTCGAAAAAGCCCAACACGAAGCCACGGGCAAACACCAAGGGAACCTCAAACGCTTCCTCCGCGACATCCACCGCAACAACGAGCAGCAGCAGCGCGAGTCCCAGCGCGCCAAGAGCGAGGTTGAGCGGCTGCGGCAGACGGTCGCGGGACTCAATGACCCCAGCAAAAGTGGCGATGCCGCAGGGGCACCGTGGCGGCAACGAGAGACCCCCAAACCCCAAGAGAGGCCGGTGTCGATGGAGGAGCGGAAACGGCAGATGGCGCAGTTGGCGGAAATGGGGGTGGCGATTCCGGACGAGTTCCGCGGGGAGATGGCCTTAGCGGGGACGTGGCAGACTGTTTCGGAGAAGGTGATTGATGGTGGGGAGGAGGGCGGTTCGAAGGCGGGGAGGTCGGTGGGAGTGCGCAAGCGCAAGTTGGAGGGTGGTGGTGGTGGTGATGCCGATGTTGATGAGGAGGAGGTGGAGGCAAAGAGGGAGGCGGAGAGGTTTGTCTCGAAGGGTTGGGGGTCGTCGGTCAGGAGGTATCCTGGGGCCAAGGAGGAGGACACGGATCTGGATGCGCTACTGGCGTCGACGAGGGAGATTAAGAGGGTGAAGCCATCGGAGGTCAAGGCGGAAGCGGACGTGGATGCGAATCCGAGAACCCAGCAGGATGCAGAGCCCGCGGGGAAGGAATCAACCAAAGGCCACTTCGTGCCGGTCAAGTCGGAGGGAGAAGTGCAGCCTGCAGAGTCAGGTGAAGCACCTACTGTCAAGGAGGAGCAGGCAGGGGGTGATACATCGTTGGAAACTGTACCGAAAACCGAGGCTGAAGAGCCAGCTGCTGGAGTTGTGTTCAAGAAACGCAAACCGAAGGTCATGAGGAAATGAGTGCGTCACTCAATTATGCGATGGAACAGTTCAAAGGGCTGAGACGCCCTTGCTGAGGGAGTTCGACGCCTGATCTACGATGCAATACGCATGCTGTCACTGGATGTTACATCCAGAAGTACACCAGCTGCATGAAATGTCTCAGCTGCAAATGGCATCAAGAGGGCTCACTACAAGAGACTCATCAATGGTCACGGAAAAAACCTCCACATCTACGTTGATGCCAAACAGCGTAACGGTGCTGATCTGGTCCATCTCGGGAGGTTCATCCATGAGCCTCGGGAGTGTTCTGGCAATTGGAGCTCGGCGGGAACAGCAACTCCAACTGAACACCCAGACAACTGCAGATCTAGCCTTGGCGGGCAACTGAAACCGCATCACCAGAGCCGCACCCCATCTGTAGATATTACTTTTTCCAGTTATCAACTAAGCCAAAGCCTCGAAAATAGCTTGATGGTTTGAACAATTCACTTGAATTGGGTGGTGCGCAGATAGTAAATAAACGGCGCGCTAGAAATTACCGAACTGAATAAACTCATCTAAGAATACTGCAGAAATCCCAAAAGAACACAGAAACTAGATGTTAAGGAGAACGATAAGAATCACATAGTGATGGTTGTACAGTACCTTGTCAGTTGTTGAAGATGGATTCAAGTCTGGTTGCCACTGACTGACTGACCACCGACCGTTGGACACTTCCCTTTTTTTTTGCATCGAATTTTTCTGCCCGTATTAATTTTCCCCGTCGGCGTAGTCGGCGCAGACCAAACCAAGAGTCCGGGGACTGACTCTCTCACTCACTCACTCAACTTCTTCTCTTTCTCCCTCTCTCTCACCCTCTCACTATTCTTTCGCGGCCCCGAAGCTCTCGCGCTCTCTCTGCCTCGCTCGTTTATCTGCGCAACAGCCTTTTCCTGTCGCATTCCCATTTTCCCCCTCCCACCCCCAAATGCGGAGATTATTTGGTGCCGCATTGCGTGTTTTGGTGTTATAGTCATTCGGCTCGCTTCTTTTCGCTTATCTGGCCCAGTGCATGGTGAGTAAACGAGAGCTTCTTCCCATTTGCTTGTCCCGATCCCTCCCCTCTGGCAACCCCCCCCCGACACGCGCTCGACCTCTGTCTGCCTCGGTCATTGTGACTTGTCGACTCGCCGGTTTGTTCCTTCGACCGGGGTAATTACGACCGGACTCGCATGGTATCTCGACCTCCGCCAGTGCACCATGTACGATTCTTCCGCCGTGGCAGTGCCGTCCTGGGGTAGGATTCGGGGAGGCTCTAGACGGTCGCATCCAGCGTTGCCCGGTCTGACAAGGCTGCACTGCCTCTTGGGACACAAGATGAAAGAGCTTGGATATTTGGAAGGGGCTTGGTCAGGTTAGGGGACGGTAGCCAGCGCATCGTGGATCGTACCAGCACCCTCCGTATGCGGACAATTTTCGAGGGAATCGCGTCGGAACTCGACACCCCGACAAATGCGCGAGCCAAAAGAACCGACCAGTCTCGACACCAACTGTTCGATACGAACAGCCATGATGTCCCAGGGTTGCCAGAGTGTCGTTGGGTCGCGTTAATCGGAATCAACCCACTAACATGCTTTACCTTTTGAGTTAGAGAAACAGCACCCATCGGCTCCGCATTCCCTGCAAAGTCTTTGCTAGCGGTAAAAGTCATCCGTGGCCGACCTCGACCCGTCCGACAGACCGGAAAGCCTTTCCAAGGCTCGAATACATTTATTCTTATTGTACGCACGGGTGACAGAGGTGTCGAACTCTTATTGAGATGGCGGAGCCAACAGATTCGACGAATCCAGCAGAGGAGGCGCCCAAGCCGGCTCCAGAGCCGACTGAGATGCCTTCTGCTGAGCAGCCCTCTGCTCAGATGCCTCCTGCTGAAATTCCTCCTCCTCAAATACCTCCCGCTGAGCAGCCTTCTAACGAGCAGCCTGCCTCTGAACAGCCTCCTCATCAGCAACCCCCTCAGCAACAGCCTTCCCCTCAGCAGCCTCCCCATGGGCAGCCTATACATGAGCAGCCGCCCCATGAGCAGCCGCCCCCTCAGCAGCCTCCCTATCAGCAGGCCCCTCATCAAGAGTCTCCCCCTCAGCAACCCCCTCCTCAGCAGCCTCCTGCCGAACAGCCTCCCCTTGAGATGCCCTCGGTTCAGATGCCATCAACTGAGCAGCACAGCAGCGAGCCGCCAGTAGACCACGCGCTTCCCCATATCGATACCTCACTCCCTCCAATCGATACGACTCTGCCAGCGATGGAGGAACACGAACGTCTCAGTCATGAACTGCCCCCAATCGATACGACGATACCGTCGCTTCCTCCAATCGATACATCTTTACCACCGCTCGACACTACGCTTCCAGCTACGGACGGGCTACATACCGAGGAACCCGATTTCTCGTTCCCGGAATTAAAACAAAGTGACACCGATGGCCATGGGGTGGACCATTCACACCCACCAGGAACGAATGGTTTCGACTTTCCCGATCACACGCCCCATTCCTCCACCCCCGCTCCCTCCTATCATCCTCCAGTGAACGACACGCATTCGCAGCAGCCCGCTCAGCAGGAGCACTCTCATTTGTCCCACCACACACATCAACATCAGCAGTCCCCACACCCAGGTCAACCGCCGCAACCCCATAATCACTACGAGCATCAATACTCCCACAACCAACATCATCCGCAGCAGCAGCACACGCCATCGCAGCATGGATCGCCATCTCAACACCAGCAAGGTCCGGGGCAGTCGACACCGACACAACCGCACCAGCAACAGCAACAGTACCAGCAGCACCAGAGCTCGGACATGTATCACAACCACCAATCCATGAGTGCGCCGTCGATGCAGACCATGGATCACCATTCGATGCAGGGACAGCACTCCCAAATGCCACAGGCCCCCATTGGTTCGCCCATGCCCTCAAACATGCCTCCGATGACGTCCGTTGGCCAGTACATGACGGGATACCCTACCAATGTTGGTCAAATGGGGATGAATGCCAACTCCCAGATGCGTTACCAGCTTCCGGGTGACCCTAACAAGATGTTGTCGGGCGGGAGACACAAGAAGGAGGTTAAGCGTCGGACGAAAACGGGGTGCCTAACATGTCGTAAGCGACGAATCAAGGTATGTGCATTTGTGCAAGAATAGCATGTGTGATCTTTTTGATCGATAATGTGTGTTCTGTTGTGAGGGTGATTAATGTGGGGGAGGAAGAGGAGGGGAGGTGAAACTGAACTGCAAGGAGGGCGGGCGGGCGGGCAGACAATGGCAGGCGGTCGCAACAGGCGAGTGTTCGCTTGCGCCGCCGCAAATGTTTGTTCGGCTCGCCGAACCCCGCCTGTCGCTTGTTGTTGTTCTCGCCCACTCACCACTGTTGCTGCTTTCCTCCCCGCCTAACTATTCACGCTCACATTTATTTTTGATACCCTGAGCGGTCACTTCTTTGTGTCACTCTATACTCTTTTTGTTCTTCTTCTTTGACCTCTCCTCTGTGGATTTTGGGTTTGTACCCTTCATCGATATCCCCGCTAACTAATTAATGCACACTAGTGTGACGAGGGTCATCCTGTCTGTCGGAACTGTGTCAAAAGTAAACGGGAATGTCTTGGTTACGACCCCGTGTTTAAACAACAACCAACGCCTTCTGCTATTCAACCCGCCCCTAATCCGCATCCTTCTTTGGTGGTAAATCCTCAGGATCCTTCCACCTCTTATCCCCAAGCTCCTCCGGGCTACGTACCTGCCGCGTCGCAACCGTTTGCTCCTTCCGAATCGCCCAGCACGTCAACCGACCGCTACGATAGCTACGGAGCGCCCGTTGATCACTCCGCCGACGTGAACAACCAGCAGAACATGGCCAGCATACAGCATGCCGTTGAAGGAGGCCTGCAGCCGACGGTGAACCCGGCAGCAACCAATGCTACTGGCACCCCGTCGGAGGCCACCAGTTTTAGAGGTATACTCTTCTACCTACGATGGTGCTGTAAGCATGCTAACTCGGCCCGCAGTGAAACAAGTGCAGATCAGCGACCTTCTTGCCCTGCGAGGAATTCCCCCTCCCCCTCCGCACCCCATCACATCGCTGCCGCCTAACCGGCTTGAGGAAATCCAAGCCGTGTTCCTCGCAACCTACGCTCCCGCCATAGACAAGTTTTTCGAAACCAGGTGGTTCCAAGATAAAGCGTTGCCTCATTTGCTGGCAAATGCACAGCTCATGGCGGAGTACTCCGCCTTGATCGATGCCTTCAACGACCCCAATCTGAATGATCCGAACGTGGTTGCTCGGTTGGAGAGTTTCGAAGCGTCAGTGGTGTGGAGCTCGATGACTTTGTGCCGTCATGTTATGAACGTGTCCGGAGGTGCTCAGCCTGAGTACGATTTGCTAGCGTCGGCGAAGAGACTGGATGTGATTGAGGCAATGATCACGGGCGAACATCTAGACTCCAACCCTCTGAGCCAGTTTCCTACCCGGGAGCCGGCTGCTAATCCCCCCTCGCTGCCGGATCAGCTCACACAGCGGTCGTTGGACTTCTGGAGCGCCGTCGGATACTTCCTCACGCTACACGACAACGAAGCCAGCTCGGCCAAGGAGATCGACGATACCCTGGCCCGCTGCCGAACATTGTTGGACACGTACGAGAACCGAGATGTGATCTATTCAATCGCTATTGCGCGTCACCTGGGACAACGGTGGGCGGACTTTCCCCGCAGCTTCCCGCAACCGATCACGACGAACGAGAAGGACGCGGGAGCCAAGTTGTATGTCGCACAGAAGTTCCTCGAACAGGAGGCCGGCGGCAAGGGTACAACACAAGTGATCAAGCGCATCTGTGGCATGGTCGTTCGGTCCTGGATCGTTTCCCGGGAGTGACCAGCGGGGTGATTCATTCTTTCTGATGCGAGCAATTTGCGATCTATCATATGAAAAGCGCGTCGGTACGCTGCGTACCGATTCACCATGTTCAACTAGACTTTCTGTCTGGTCATTGAGGGAGTTCCCGCCAACAGTAGTCGCGGGTGGATAGACCTCACACCTGCCAGGTGGGTTGGACATGGGTAGAGAAGTCACACCTGGGCCCGGAGTTACGCTTGGGATTGGGTTTTTTTACTTTTTGTGATTTTGGTAGCAGAAGGACGGGCAGTTGACGGCGTTTACGGCTGCATTACCTGAAAAGGTGTCATAATTGCTTCGTGATATTGCTTTTGCCTGTGGAGAGGGGACTGTATGGGTTGGCGCTAGTGTCTAGACACTTCGTCTGAAGACAATGAAATAATGAGACCATTGTACATACACAAAAAAGCAGTCCGATTCTTAACCTCTATTAACGTTTCTATGCCGTATATACAATCTTGCAGCTTATCGTTTAAAGGTCTGCCTGCTCAGGAACGGGACTCTTCAACTTGCCCGTCTCCAAGGCGGAGCGAATATTGCCGATCGTCCATTCCTCCATCGCCGTTTGTGTCTGCAGTGAAAGACTCTGTTAGCCACTTTACTCTCAAACCAACAGATAGAAAAAGGAAAGGGGATAAGCACTCACCTCGACCGTCCAAGTCCCCATATGCGGCACAAGCACACAGTTGGGATTACGCAACAGACCGGGATGCACCGCCGGCTCCTCCTCGAAGACATCCAACCCCGCGGAAAACACCTTCCCGGAGTCCAACGCCTGCACCAGCGCCTCCTCATCCATGACCGCGCCGCGCGCCGTGTTGACCACCACGACGCCATCCTTCATCTTGGCGAACTCGGCATGGCTGATGATGTGCCTCGTCTTCGGGTTGAGGGGTAGATTCAACGACAGCACGTCACTTTTCGCGAGCAGCTCGTCGAAGCTCACGTACTCCGCCCCGTCGGCCTGCTCGGCGCCCAGCGCGCGCCGGTTGTGGTAGATGACGCGCATCCCGAACGCCTCGGCCTTCCGCTTCAGGTTCCGCCCGATCCCGCCCATCCCCAGGATGCCCAGCGTCTTGCCCTGCGGGTCGTGGCCCAGCGCTGGTAGGGTGCTGCCCGGTTTGCCCCGGAAGTCCCCGGTGCGTAGGTTCTGCATGCCCGCGTTGAAGTTGCGGAGCGCGCCCAGGATCAGGAACATGTTGACGTCGGCGGTGGCGTTGTCCGGTGCTGTGGGCACGTTGGAGACCCGGATGGGTTGGGGAGCGCGGGATGTGCAGGCTGGGATCGAGATTTGGTCGTAGCCCGCTCCTATTCTGGGGATTAGTTTGTGGGGGCGTTGGGGGAGTCCGGGGAGGGTTGGGGTGGTGGTAAGGGGAGAAAAGGCTGGGGCTAGGCGCAAGCACGCACCGCAATGAGCAATCCACACCAATGACGAGGGCAGCATGTCGATTATCTCCTGGTCGAAGAGGCCGGTGATGTTGATGGATCCCAGGGTGCGGTAGGCCGCGACGACGCCGTCGTACTTCCCGGACTTGCATTCTTGGATGAATTCCTCGCGGTTGGTGGCGGTTGTTTCGAGGAGGTCGGCGATGTCGCTGAGGCCCGTCCAGGTGGCGTATGCGCTGGGATGGGGTTAGTGGTGGTGCTGGTCACTTGGTTTGCTGGTAAAGGAGGGGGGACGCACTGGTCGATCTTTCCGATCAGCAGGACCTTGGGTTTGGGGTTGGTTGAGCCCATTGTTGCGGTGTTGTGCGGGTTGTACTGTACTATAAGCTGGTGAGATGGTGTCGATTGAGCTATGGTACAGTACAAGGTAGGGTGATGAGGGGTAGTTCAAAACATACCTTGAGAATTACTGTGTGCAGCTGGAAAGAAAGTGGGGTAGACAAGAGATTTATAGATGGCCGACACACGGAATGCAATACCCCGAACGGAAAAGAGTTTCGGGTGTAGACCGTGCAGAAGATCGATAGCACTGCCTAACGGTGCAAGTGATAGGGAAATTCGATAACGTGAGCTCTGAAGGTCGACCCCACGTGCCCCGCGCGCCCTTCGCACCTGCACTTATCGCTCGGCTTCCTTTCCGAGTGGTTCCTGCCCTTGATTGGTGGAAGATTGGTCTTGATAGGGCGTCCCCTGCTCTCGGCCGACTCGCTTATTCGGTTGGTATATACTGTAGTCTCTGTCTGGGGGTGGCTAGGAATGGCTTATTCACTGCTGGTCTGGGTGAATAGATCCTGCATTGTCTTGAGGAGGATGTTGATTGACGGTGTGAGTTGTTGCTAGATGGGGTATTCACCGGGCAGGAAACTGCGCTTTCATTGAAGGCTGCAGCTACACAGCTGGATCTTCAATACTTAAGCTCCTCCGGTTTCTTCTTTCTCTTCCTCTCCTTCCTCTTCCCCTTCTCCTCTGTATCCAACTTCCTTACACTCTGAGTCTGTACTTCTTCTCCCATTCTTCTTCTTCCATCTTCCATCTTCCACCTTCCATCTTCAAGAGTCAACATGAGAAGTTCTCAGGCTTATACTTGGTATACTCCGAAAAAAATCAAACGCTGGCTCGTGTTCCCCTGTTCTCAAAACCACATCGTCGAAACCAAATCAGAAGTAGTCCTTGGCAGTCTATCCTCTCTTTCCTGGAGCTCAATCATACACTCATAACCAGGCAGCTAGAACTTGATCTCCACCAAAACTGGAGAAGCCGTCGCCAACCGTGTACGACTTCCTGGTGCTTGTTCTTCCCGCAACACCTTTGAGACAGCAAGGCTCTCACAACATTGATCTCCGAGTCAAACCCCCAGTCGTGACACCGGACTTGCTAAACATCACAGGGCATCCATTTTTAAGCCATAGTACCGAAAGACCTCGCTCTTCCAACAGAAACAGCATCTCTGGGGCCTGTGCGCCGACGCAAACATCATTATCACCTTCATTTTCACACTTCTGCTCTCGTTATCCTTCTCGATGAGCATTCTCTATTCCCCCCCCCCACAATTCAGGCTGCAATGGCTTCAGTCGTTCCGCCTTACTTTCATTGGAGAGCTCTGATGAATAAATCAACAAATTACGCGGCATCCGGCACAACGGGGGCATTGCACAGGAGAATCAGGTGGTGAAGCGAAGGCCATGAAATGCCTGGTATGGACAAGCCAGTAGCATTCGGCAGCCATGGCACAGGTAATATATTCGATCAGTCTATCAGCTTAATCTCCAGAGAGACCAGAACCAGGTCCAAAAGAAGTGCCAGCATCGCAAAGGGCTGGAGAGAATGGGCGTTCATGTCGAAGAATTGTTAAGTTTGTACCCAAGGTGTCAACTATCAATCGAAGCTGGACTGATACTTCGCTAGCTCATCATGGATGATAGAGGCTGAGCGCCTTGGGAAGGCGGGAGCAGCAGAGAAAGTGGAGGTAGCGCGCCAGCTTATGAAGGCAAGCAAGCTTTGCCAGGCCGTTGAGCCTCACCTACAGGCTCATTGCAAGGAGCAGGGAGCGACCAAGGGTGGCGATATCGGGGATGGTCTCGCTGTTAGGGCTGCGAGCTATCTTGAGGACGGCATGGAAGCCCTGGAAGAGGACTGTCAAGACTCTGATAAGCTTATGGGACCCCTGACCCACCTGTTTGGGCATATCAGCCGTGGCGGGGAATCTCGAAGCTATGAGAAGTCCCGTCGAAAGGTCTTGAATGTCATGATGCGCAAGATTGATATTGTGGTAAACCCGCTGGATTTGCCCGAGGTATTGCGGCGAGAGCTTCCAGATACCTTATTATCGACGAGGCGACTTTCTATCACGATCCGGGATGGTTTTCTGCCTTGACGAAACTTCCTCAAGGAAGTAGCATCCTTCTCGTCGGAGACTACAGCCAGCTGTCGCCAATGTGCTTTACACCTCAGGGTCGTGAAGCATGATTCAGCTCGGCTGTCGAAAGGCTCATTGAGAAGGACTATCAGACCTGCATACTCAACATACAGTACAGGAGCAGACACATATTCACGGGACCACGTCGAAGGTCTTTCACGATGGAGCAGGAGACAGCTTTGCTCTCCGGCGGAGATGGGGCACGAATCTCACGGCTTCTTAATCACCGCACAGCTGTGAGAGACCAGATGCACCAGAGCCACTTCCAAGAAAGAAAAAGAAGAGCAATACAAATTTGGCCTCTCTTCGGTCGGATGAGCAGCAAGCTATAAAGAGAAGCATGACTGCTCCGCAGCCCCCGAGCCGGCAGCCAGATTGCAGCTGTCGAACAGCCAGGAAAGAGATGAAGGTATGGCACAGCCCGATGTGTAATTCATGTTCACCACGTTATTGAATGGTAACAACAAGCTGACTGTCTTCATAGGTGCTTGACAGCTCTGTATCGAACCGATAAGATATGATTCGTGTCCGGATTCTGGAAAGGGTTGTACTGAACCCCGTTATCTCTACTCCGATCAAGAGAGGCGACGTCGCCAACAACATATTTGTTGGCATTACTAGAGGACTCAAATCAGAACATGAGCCCCGTGCGAGATCGGCAATGGCAATATGGAATGATGGGTCGGCTTCAGTCCAGATCAATCATACGCTTTATACGAAAGTCTATATGCGAGCTTCTTAATCCCATATCAAGTTTCATATGCTTGGCTTTATAGACCAGGATATGAAGTCAAGACCATTTCAAAGGAAAGCGAAGCATAACCTCCAGACTACTTACTTGGGAGCCTGACATGTTCGACATCCCGAGATTCGACCAGCCCGATGCGCCAGCAATCGCCCAGGCTAAGCGGGCGGCGCCTGCACCGGTTCGTCCGAGGACGGCCTCGCCAACCGGCTCGGGAGCGTCTCGCCCAGCCGGACCACGGGTTCACCTACTACCAACTGCACATGCGCATCGACACCTCGCAGATGCCCTTCATAAACGACGTCCAGAATGCCTAATGGCTCGCGTGGGATTCGCCCAAGCTCCAGTACATTGCCCGCTACCTGCAGGAGGAGAGGTACTTCGTCGCTTCCAGGACCAAGAGCCCGCCGCGCATCATCTTCTTCTGCCGCTGGCCCCTCACGCAGAGGGTTCTCGCCATGTTCCTTAAGATGCTCGGCATCGGCATCTGCCAGAAGTGGGCCTACCAGTCCCCGAAGGAGCGAGGCAATGTCGCAGCCACGTTCACCAGCAAGGACAGCGGTGCGGAGGTGCTCGTGGCCACGTACCGCCTGGCCTCCGTCGGCCTCAATCTCTAGGGTGAGTGTGCGACGGTGGTACTCGTCGAGCCCGGCCTCCATCAATTGATGGGCTAATATAATGGAACTGCCGCACAATGCGACCGACCACTCGCATTGATGGCTTCTTTCATACGTACTCCATTGTCTTCATTGACCCCGTGTGCTTACTGCAAGGAACCAAAACTCCCGACATTTCAGGAAAGTCGGACTAAGGAGCAGGCGCGGCAGCTGTCCCAGGACTTCGACAATGTGTGGTGGCACGCGGTCTGCCATCGACAAGACCAGCCCGAAACCCGGGTTCTCGTCATCATGTCGAGCAGGATATTGAAGAATACTCCGACTTGTGAAGGTCCGTCTGCCGTGCATGTCACGGAAGACACTCCATACTCTTCCTGCTGAGGTTTATTATCTGTCAGAACGAAACAGGACATCAATGAAGGTCCCAAATATATATATAAGAGCTTACAGGTGATGCGGAGGCCCTTTCTCCACCACGAAGTTAGAGAGAAGCGAGGGTCTCTCGCGCAAGATGACACTTCAGAGGACTGCAAGGACTTCCACGAGGGCAAATGGACTGCTGAACTTTAGAGTAGAACCCCTCACACTGAGTGGTACAATGAGGGCTTATCGTTTTATCCAGCTGCTTTGTAAGAACGTTTAGCGCGGCTTGCCACCAATCGTCCGAATATGCTGCTCAATGCCGCTCACCGGTACGGACTAGACTCTACCAAGCCATCAATCACTCAGGAAATGGAGAGGGGTGTCATCTAGTCCGATTACCTATCTGGCGACGCTTACCAAGCTTGGTAGGATCAAATGCAGAAACACACCAATTCTAATCAGCCCACTCAAAGCCAACAAAGAGCACGGGGATAGGTTCCCAGAGCCTATCTGATCTACGTCGGAGTCACAACTATCTCTATATGAGGCAAATTTTCCAGCTTCCAGCCGCCGCGAAAAGGTGTCATCGGAAAGGGAGCTTTCTATGAGATGTCTCCCGAGAGAGAGAGTTTGTTTGGGATTTGACCCGTGTTCATGCAAACAACGAGGGCTGAAGTTTGGACTTTTGACTGAAAGAGGTGTTCAGTCCCTTCGCTCAGCACCGGATGATTCCGACAAATATCGTATGGGTAGGGAACAGAGTCGAGTCAGGTAGGAAGACCCAGATCTGGTCAGAGCCTCGAACGAATCTTTCACCTTGTCGATAAGAGGAAGGCCCATGCGTGGCACCCACAAAGAACTTGAGGAGGGGACAATGCGCATAATATAATTTCAGGTTATCGCACTTGGGACAATCGATGCTTCTCACCATCGAGGGTGTGACCATGTACACCGCCCATTTGTACAACGCTCTGCAGCAGGAAAGGCTTGCCCTAAGTGATCCGTCCTGATTGTGGGGCTGAGATGCTGTTGCTGCTCAAAGTATGCAGTTTTGTGTTTGCCCCTGAAACTCCAATTCCTTCTGTCAGCAGACAGTGAAGAAACAACCATAAAAACAAGACATGTTCCCAGATACCTTCCCCTCTGCACTGGTTATAGTGTGGAGCGAGAGTCATACACCCACCAGAGGGCCAGATACACGGCCAATGTGCCTCTCACAAGCAGCAGAAGGTGATAACTTTCAAAGCCAAATAGTTTCCGCGTAACAGTCGGCCTGGTTGGAAGGGAAATTACTGCTGGTCGGTGCTCAAGCGTGAGCTGCAGCATGGCCTGGCGGGCGTTTACAATAGCAGTCAGGCTTGGTATACTATGTACGGCATTGTAGCAGTTGGTGACAAGGCCTGGATACAGGTTCCCGGTCAACTCTGGCAGCATGGTTTCCTTGGATTTCAATCTTGGATGCCCCCGTCGACCTGACGCGCCTATTCTGAGTATCCATACAGACTAAGATTGAGTACATGAGCTGATAAGGATAATCAGGCGTAAAAATGGACACTGAGCGACAGGCAACCCTACAACGAGGCTCACCCAAAGCTCCAGCATGGACGGAGAATCCACACCACAGAGGCGAGACCTAAAACAGATGATCTTCCTTGCACCATTATATCGCTGTCAACGGTGACAGCAGAAGTAAGAAGCAAGGAGACCCATCTCCTTCAAATTACTATCAAGTTCAAACAGGCACTCTCTCATACAGGCCGATGGAATTCGCCGTGACAAGACAAAATGCTCACAAAGCCACGGACATTTTCTCTTTTACTCAAAGATAAGTCGTTCTATGTCTTTGAATGAGAGGCTTGACGTACATCACGATACTGGCGAACAGGTCATACGGATTGTAATCCCTCATTCTCAACGCTAGATCCAAACTCTTCAGAATGAGGTTCATGTTGACACCTGTGACTCGGGACTGCCTGCCCTCAGATGAGGAATTCGCATAAAGCGGATTACGAAAGCAGATAAAATCGGGAAGTCAGATGTCCAATTTGGAGCCTAGGTCCCTGTGGACGATGCCAACTGGCCTAAGTCATCTGGTATCGAGGAATTCTTGATGAAGGAATAGTTCCTGATATAGCTGAAGCAACCTTTAAGAGTGACGACGACGCTTTATTCGATACAGCTGACTCAGTTGTAGATGACTCTGACCAAGCGGATGACAATGAGATTGCTGACAGTCCCATTCCAGTAGATGATACCCAGCTCAAAGCGGAAGCCAAGACATACGCGATACTCAACTTAAATGAGACCACTGAAGCCTTCACAGACCGGTTCCTGACCGATCTAGTCTGTTCCAGGCAGCTCAAGCCGTCTCTGCTTCAGGCGAGTCATTTCCAGCTGTAATGCAAGAACGACACCAAGGGAACCTTAGCTAACAAGTGCTCTCAAGCGATTGCGGCTGTCGCAGCCCGCGGTAAACCTGTGGTTCGGGTCCCGCTGATGGTGTCTGGTCTGGCCCGCACAAGAAGAAGAGCACTGCTTTGCTCCTTGAGATAGAGTGCTTCGCATCAGGTCTCAATCTCAAAGGCTTCTGATACAGTGATGCGCAGAGACACGCAGCGAAAGAGGGTAAAGCCAAGCATGAGGCACGTTTATGAGCTTGGCAATTCTGGTCAAATGAACCAGGACATCGTGCGTCTACAAGAAGCTTGGTATCTCTGCAAGGGTAATTGGATCTTTGGCTAATTGATATGCAAGTTCTCCTGATGGCTGCGATTGCATCGCACCAGCTGTATTGCAGAATATCGACCGCAAAGATGACCTCCGGTGGCCAGACTCTCGGGCAGCGTTTCGTTTACTTAAGTTCGAGTACGATGGGCTCAGTTACTGGGCATTGTCTGACTCTGAAAGTCTAGAAATATTCCGTCGAGTATTTCACTGGATCTAGACGTTACCACGAATGCATTTGGCGGGGCGGAGAGGCACCTCACATCGAAGGCCTGCGTCTTACTGCGTCAATTCCTCGAGCCTTTCACATGCTCAGGGTTCAGCAGAAATGGTTGAACCATCCGCCATCTTGATTTCTTGGTCAGGTTGCGTGGGCTAGGCGGAGCAGGGGTCAAAGATCGAGACAGCGAGAACCACCCGCCTACAATTGAAGGAAAGGAGTATGAAGACTCGAGTCTTCAGTCTAGGAGGGGTTGTCTCACTATAGGACGATAGTCCGGATGTTGAATCCTTGTATGGAAGGAAGGAATCCTACATACAGATGATAAGCATATGATGAGTATCTACTGACATGCTCTCAGTTCGCCCCCGACATGCTTGGACTGCGATTGCTGACAGATCTATACACTCTTGATCTCGGACAGTCACAACAACCGAGCACTTGAAAGCCTCATAAAGGCGGCCTTGCGGGCAGATTAACAATTGATGGGTTCTCTCCACCAAGACATAAAGCTCTGGGCACCTTTGCGCTAAGCTACTATCTCAGTCTCGTGCAGATCTCGATGCTCCAGCACCGACTAATCACGGCCCTTGTTGGGTTGCGCAGCCTAGACCTGCCGCTTAAAGCCAGTACAAGTGACAGGCTGAGTGCGAGCCCAAGCAACATCGTCACACTAAGCAGGAAGCTGCACGTCTACTGGGGGACAGGAGTGCTGCCCGAAATGCTGCGAAGACAATTCTATCCTAAATTCCTGATCATCGATGAAGCAATATTCTTCAGAGACCCAGACTATTCTACGCCCTCACAAAGCTACCATAGGCTATCAACATCCTGCTGGTAAGTGACCACAACCAGTTGGCACTCCCGTGCTTTACCAAGGGTAAGAAGGCCTGGAACGTTTCGGCCTTTGAGCGATAATAAACAAATCTTATACAGTGTTTACTCTAAACACGCAGTACCGCAGCCAAAAACTCATATATAACGCCACTTCGAAGGTTTTCTATGATAGCAAGGTCGAGATATATGGCCTCCCCCGCAGATGGGGGGGCAACCTTGCTTCATCTCCAATCACGCTCTGCTTTAACTAAAATCGCTGGCTTATCAAGCAAGATATCGGATTCCTAGATATCGACGCGCAGGCGCAGCGAGACGCGTTCTCGTCATAGTTCAACCTGACGGAGGCGCGTCTCGCCGTAGACCTCAATGACGCTCTCGGCCAGACGGGTTGATATTTTAATCCTGACGCTGTCCAGACGCGGTTGAATATCTGACAACAAAAGTTCGAGTATGACTTGTCTGGCTCCCGCCACTGGATTTTTAGCACAATTCAGGTCAATCTGCTAAATTTCTCAAGAGCTGCAACGTCAGCCTCTTCTCGGAATTCAAGCGGTGAATTTCGAATGGTTCATCAGTAACTTACCTTGAACGACGCGACGATCAAGAGGACCTACCCTATACGCCGAGTCGAACCTATTCTCAACAGTTTAGCATTAGCAAAACTCAAGGTTTTTCTCAAAGAGGACGCCGCAACTGGGAACTGAGCGAGCCCGTTGGCAATGAAATATTGGTACAAGACTGCTTTCAGCACATATCTCGGCCAACTTTGCTATCGATGCAAGGGACAAGAACTTACTCCTATACAGCCTACACGAAAACCCTTCGGTGCGATCAGCTTCAGGGTCGGACCACATCCCGCGTGATCCCAGAGAGAGCAAGAAGGCAGGTCTTCGAGATCAGAGGCGGTGCATAATCACTAAGGCCGATTATCCGGACATCGAAGAAGCACACATTTACCCATCCTCTGGTGCTCCGGGGACGTATACAAGGTTGAAGGACATTGTTATAGGTGCTATCCTAGCTCCCTACAATGGGGCTTCCCTTGCGAACCTCACGATAAGTGTGGAATAAGGTTCGAATGCTCCATGGACGACGACATGAATGGAGTGGCTCCATTCGAGAGTTTAGTGCGTGTCGAGTCGTCAGGGAAAGTCATTGCATGATTTTCACAGCCTTTGGCCAGATCCTCGAAGGGGCAAGTGACTCATCGCCACGGGACTTTTCAAATAACAGCGGGGACTCAGGGGGGCTCTATGATTGCAAAGCACAAGAAGCGCGAGGCTGACGAGCGGGGAAGAGATTATCTTACTGTACAAGCGCCGTCCAGGCTCCCGCTGTTGGCTCCTAAATTCCTCACTTGTACGGAGAACCAGGAGATAATGCACTACAAGGAGGCTTTTCAGACCGACTCAGATGCACGACCTCTCCAACGATCGGAGGATCCCGGGGCTTTGATGGATTCCATCGCGCTGTGTATACAACGTATACACAACAAGGCCGTTGGGTTTGACCCAGTGGCCAAAGAAGAGCTTGCAGAATGACCAAAGCTAGGAGAAGATGATAATCCTACACTCTGGAGGTTCTTATGCCTGCACTCTGAGAGCACCCTGCTGAGTATTTCCGTGCGCCTTGCTTAGAGACATCGTTCATTTCAAACATACCTGCACATTCGAAGCTGAAGGCCTTCTGGAAGAGTGCGAAAACATGAATGCGGAGTATATGCACTCAATCTCGAAAAAGACGAGAGAGTTCTCTTCTTCTACATGGGTTTGGTTACTGAAGCAAAACGTGGAATCAGGGCTCGGATTGGGTCTCACCGGCGGAAGAATGCATTCCTCAAGCTGATGAAGATAGGCCCCTCCCCTATCCTATCTTTCGTAGCAATCACAACTGCGTTCTCGGTGCCAGCCCTGGATAGTGGAATGATCAGATGATAATTGGCCCACACCTACTCCGAGTGAGAGGGGGTATATGGACCATTTGACTCAGGAGACACTGCGTGAAGCTGAGGCACAATGATCTAAATGATCGGATGGATCGCATGAAACCATACGAATTACGAACACCACCCAGATCAGATAAAAAGAATTGATCAATCGCTATGAACGAGCTAATAATGAAAAGAATTCGAGGAAGACTGCGAAGGGCAAAGTAGCATAGAAGGAATTCGTCATTCGTATGGTTTCATGCCTTCCCCTTGCCGGTGAAACCGAGGGTAAAACAACAACAAAAAGAAAATTGACGTTGTGATTCCGATACGGGGAATCGAACCCCGATCTCCTGTGTGAGAGACAGGTATGCTAACCTTTACACCATATCGGAGGTAGATATCAAGAACGTGTAAATCTGGCTACATGATCCAGCAAGCCATTTAGATCACTGTTCTCCAGCTTCGCGCAGTGATCTCAGTTACCAGCTGAACTCATCAGGCCTCAATCTACAGATGTATCTCCACACGGTCCACCGAGTCTCCGTCGTAATGTGCTTTGCTATAAGAGAGCAGGCAATTGGCCCATTCCTACGATGACATCAAACCCCTACAGTAGTGGTATGCGAATATCGAATACCCAACACATTCCAGATCCCACTCGACAATAGTGCCATGGAGAAAACTCTGCGGGACTTGATATCAGACTGAGTTGTTCTAGTCATTTGCCGCTATCTTGAACTCATCAGATAGCATAGCACTGATGCAGAGGGATGGGTTGTTCGAAATGTGAGCTAGCTATGTTCTTTGCAAGTCCGCATCCGCAGTGTATCTGGACGCCAGTTCTTGTCAACGAGGCAAGCGAATACGAACAACGGGCAGAGAAGAGAGCTTCAAAACAAAAGGGAAAAGACATCAGTTGACTACCACTATACGATTTGCAGACTTGGAAGCATAGGAATCAACCATGAAGAACCTCCCAGTCAGCGTCGAGGATATACAACAGACTCCTCCGGGTGGTCAGCGGTGCAGATATAATCCCGGCGCAGCAGTATCAATAAAAACTGTAGTAATTGATGACACTGTACGTCCCCTCGCCGCCCTGCCTCACCTCACTATATCAAGAGATAACCATGCATCAACTGGAAGCAATAGCGTCTCATCCCAACGCTTGGAAACCCCATGCAAGGCTCCCAGCCATCCGCACTACCCGGGTCACAGATCCACCAGAACGGAACCTCATCCTCGGATCAGACAATAGCACCGCGGAATAAGACACTTCACAGTCGGGGAAATTATCAGGGGTATCAAATGGGAGAAGAGAAGCGGATATCAGCGAGTTCTGACCAAAATCTCCAGACGTGCAATGGTCACCGCGCATTTCAGTTTCCAACTTCCGCACATTTTCTTTCATACACCGCCCATTCAGGTTCTTTGTGGGCAAGGGTACGAAAAAAACCTCCTTTTTTGCAACTGAACCGGAACCCAACGACAACATCCCAGACACGACGCGAAGAGGAGCTGAGCACCGAGGTTGAGGAAGTGGATGTGCTGGACCCCGTGGTCGATCGTACGGCCGACGAAGAGGACGATCCGGCAAATGAGTCAATGTGGCAACCTACCGATTTCTCCGGCGACCCGCAGGACACGGCGAATGCCTTCATGGGACTCTCTGTCCATTGATCGTCTCAGCGAGGAAAACTTTGCGCCAGTGCTTACTCCATTCCCAAAATGAAGCTGTGTACAGTCCCATCGATGACCCGGTCGGCATTGTTTCTGACAGTTCCGCAAAAAGTCACCCCAAAAATATGATGTCACGAGGTGGAACGATGGCTTTTCTGCGGGCGGCATATCTGGTGGTGCAGTATGCCATAGTTTTGCCTAGTGGACGAATGTGGAGCTATACTTCGTGACAATGTAGATAGTTCCGCGCCGGGTGTGAGCCAGCTCAGCACAAGCTATTGGTAGATTTGGTGCGAAGGGGTTACTGTGGGCGAAATGAGGCTCAAGGAGGTGCCTATGAACTAAAGATCGGTCGATTGATGGCTGTCAGTCCGGACGAAGAATGGCAGACCCTTTATATCGCCTACAACCACAATTCACCATGCTTAGCTGACTTGGCCGAGAGGAATAACTACTGGGATGATTCTGCGCGCACAGAGAAGTGATGTTGTTGGTGATATTCTCGGGGGCGGCGAAAAGGCTCTCCAGGCAATATGCAGAATAGTAATAGATAGCTTGGGTCCAGATCCTATACTGGCTATGTTGCCAGTGGGATGGTGGAGGGAATTATCTGAGAAGTAGGTCATGGTTATGACCGCTGACGAAGGAAAGATACTGTACATGGGGTGGCGGAAGGATATGGAATGGGGGAGGGAACAGAGAGCAAGACTAGCGCGGTAGGAAAATGTTTTGACAGTATGCGTATCAAGCGAGCCTGGTGGTGACGAGGAATGAGCAGCTCTGGGGCAGTAATGGCACGCTTCTCGCAGTTCATCTTGGATAATTGAGTTCTGTCTTTAGTGTGATTCAACATAACTCATGAAGTTTCAAGAATAACCTCTAATCAAAATGTCCGTTCCTCCAGAGAAATTGTGTAGTTTGACCATTACTCTATCAACTCAACGTAAATCCACCACCTCAACCCTCACCCGGACCTCCGACACATCAGCCTGAACCCAGAACCCAATGTCCTTGGTCGATTCCACCAGCTCCACCTCTCTCTTGACAAACCGATCCCCATCCGCATCTACATCCCCTCCGCGCTCATCCTCCGCCTCACTATCCCACTCCTCATCCTCCATCTTCTCCCGACTAACCGGATCCAACTCATCCGTCTCCCACACCAACCTCAGTCCAAAAGCAGGGAGCCCGAACAACCGCCCCGCAATCGCCTTGACCTGGTACGTATCGAACGACCTGGGGATCTCCCTCGTCTTGACCACCTCATCCGCTTTCTCCTTAAGCCCACCATCCTCGTTCTGCCTCAAATGAAACACAAACTTCACCAACCGCGCAGCCACAGACCGAGGATTCACCACTTTCCCAGCTGCATCCTCCGCACTCGTGCGCCGGATCTCTGGCTCGCCGTGCAATTCACACAGCTCCGCATACCGCGGATGCTTGGCCAGGATCGCCGGTTCTTCCGCTTTGGGCGTGGCGGAGAGTTCCTTCGTGATGAGGGAGAGGTAGTACAGTTCACCGTTGGTGCGGTCCTTGGGCGTGATGGTGCCGTAGTTCAGGACCTGGAGGTTGGCTATCCGCGCTAGTGTGAGCATGTAGGCTTCGTCGACGGTCATGGGTTTTTCGGGGAGGCCGGTGATCGACGTTGGGCCGATGGGCCCGTCGAAGAGCGGGTTGGTGGAGATGCGGAGGGTCGTGAGGGCGGGGCATGTGGTGGGGAGGTGGTTGAGGAAGAGCCAGGTGGAGATTTTGTTGCGGGAGAGGTCGAGGGAGGTTAGGGATGGGAAGATTAGCGGGGTTAGGTCTTCGGGGGTGGTGATGGTGCCGATGGCGTTGGAGCGGAGGGACAGGTGTTGGAGGTTGGGCAAGGAGGTCAGGGGTTTGAGGGCGGAGAGGGAGGTGAAGTCGTTGTTTTCGAGAGTGAGGCGGGTGATGTTCCCGGACAGTGGTGAGGAGATGGTGGAGATTTGGTTGGCGGAGGCGGAGAGGAGAGTGAGAGAGGGGAACTGGTGGGTGATGGCGGAGATCTCGTCCCAGGCGAGAAGCGTCTCATCGAGGTATAGCTCGGTGATCTTGTTGAATGTGAGGCCTTCTTCGACGGGACCGAATCGATTGCCACTGTGTCATAGTCAGAACACTTCCTGCCCATACCTTAAGATAGAGACATACCCCAGCTTCAAGGACTTGAGGTGCCTGAGTCGCTCGCAGATCCTTGCCATGGCGCTCCAGCTAGTCAGCAGGTTCCGACTCAAATCCAGCTCCGTGATCTTAGGGCAAGTCTGCTCAATCTCTTCATACGCAGAGTCCACTTCTTCCGTGGTAGCCTGGTGGCCCAACACGCCAGCGACCCGCAAGCCATCCAGCAAGACGATCTTCAGTTCCTGAAGCTCGGCCAGTTGCTTGCGGATTTTGTCGAACCCGACCTCCTCGACGACCTTTCCGCTAATCTGGATGGGCTTGTGCAGGGCGACGGAATCTGTCTCCTGGCGCTGTCGAGCAAGCTCCTGCTCCAGGTACTCCGAAGCGTACTTCTCGCGCAATGCCTCGACCAGTCCGCGCGGCTTGTCCGCTGGGCGCGACGGACGCACGAACGACCCAGCCGTGGGGTGGTTGCGCAGACCTGTGTTCATCAGTACATACTCATGGACAAGAAAGCACACAGTGTCTGCAAGTGAAAACTCACATGTGAAGTATCTCACCCCCTTATGCTCGCCCGAATGCTTTCCGCGACTCGGATCATCCCATTCCACCCCCAACCAGTCGCCGGCGGTACCCTCTACCGTACCGACATAGCGAACGGTACACAGATCTCCAGCATAGGATCGTCGCTGACCAACAGCCGGAGTATCCATGACAGTCTCAATGCTTAAATACCAGCCAAAACGATCTCAATCATGAATATCAGAAGATACTCCGTAGTCAAAAGAGATATGCATATCCATTGACAGACGATACCGCGGGACCCACCCCGGAGCACGAACCAATAACAACGCCACCAGCCCGCTTACCTAATGCCAGCTTCTCTCTCCGCCAAACTGCCATCCATCGATGATTCCATCCATCCATCCCATCTCCAACACCAACCAACATACTCTCCACCCTGCCACCCTTGAATCCACCACATAGTCCGGAACCAGAGCCTCTCCAGGCGCAAGTCCCAAAATGGACTACCAGGTACGAATTCTCCCCAACCCCCAACCCGCATCCCCTCTCCAACCCGTTCAACCCACTAACACCCCCATCTAGAACCGCGCAGGCTCGAAATTCGGCGGCGGCGGCGTGGCCTCGCACAGCGCGACCAACGCGGACCGCCGCGAGCGGCTCCGCAAACTGGCGCTAGAGACGATCGACCTGGACAAAGACCCGTACTTCTTCAAGAACCACGTGGGCTCGTTCGAGTGCCGGCTGTGCCTGACGGTGCACCAGAACGACGGCTCGTACCTGGCGCACACGCAGGGCCGGAAGCACCAGACCAACCTGGCGCGGCGTGCGGCGCGCGAGCAGCGCGAGGGCAAGAACCAGGACCCGTCGGCGCTGCCGGGGGCGATGGGCGTCCAGGTCAAGAAACAAACCATCAAGATCGGCCGCCCGGGGTACAAGATCACCAAGATCCGCGACCCGCTCACCCGGCAGCTGGGCATGCTGTTCCAGCTCCAGTACCAGGAGATCACGCCGGGGGTGACGCCGCGCGTGCGGTTCATGTCGGCCTTCGAGCAGAAGGTCGAGGAGCCGCCGGACAAGAGTTTTCAGTATCTCGTCGTCGCGGCCGAGCCGTATCAGTCCTGCGCGTTCAAGCTGCAGGCGAGGGAGATTGATCGGCGCGAGGGAAGGTATTGGACGTGGTTCGATGAGGATAGCAAAGAGTTCTGGGTGCAGATTATGTTCAAGACCGAGCGCGAGGAGAGGTATTCTGGTGTGCCGGGGTTGGCGCCGGTTGAGCCGAATGTCTAATCTCAGCACTTGTTTTTGGTTGTGTTCGGGTTTGGGGGATCTGCGTGATGCTGGTGTTTGGTGGACCAGGTTTTTTCTGTTTTTTTTTCTTTCTTTTCCCTTAAAATGCATGTATCATTCCTAGCTTATGGGCGGCGTTCTATTTTCAGGGGTTTCGCGATTTTTAGATACTCGGATACTGATACTGGCAACAACACAATGATTCATATCGAGCTTCTCATTGCTCTACCGATCTTCCAATCTACAGCCGCATTCCCAGAATCATAGCAGCCCTACCTGTTCCACAATTACTCCAAGAATACAGCTACTCTAAGTCAGAAGTCAAGTCTAGGTCTAAGTCTAAGTCGCCGTGAAGTCCACATGTCACTCGAATTCCTAGCTACATACACGGCTAGCAGCGAGCAGTCGTCGTCTCGCGACAAGGATGCAATGAAATCAAACGGATATGCCTGGGTCGTGACCAACAGAGATGATGAAATGCGCTATATGCTCGATGAAACGGATGCACAATGTGGTAATACCGAGACGAAATGCCGAGTGCGCCACTGAAAATCCATCAATGCAAGCCCGCCCGCTTTCGGACTCTTCAATGACGTCTATCGTGGGTTCACCAACAAACATGCAATATCCACGTCTATAACTTAGTTTGCCTGGAAGGCATTGAACGCTTTGTACGTGTAGCCGATGAACGGCAGGCTCATCTCCGCCTCCTGCTCTTCCGGCATGGCCCGAGCCTGGGCGCGGTGGATGGCACTGGTATCCTCCTGAGGAATCTCGTCGATGGGGAAATAAGACACGTCGATGTTCGAGCTCAACCGCGGCTCGAAGGGCGCCCGGATGCTGCGCAGCTGCTCCCAAACAACGCCACGGAAGAAGGGATGGTTCTTGATCTGGGTCGCACCGCCGAATTGGCCGCCTTCACTGCCAATACGGTGTTCGGTATCACACAGGAAGCTGAAGCCTGTTAGTAGACACCCTCACAGTGCAGCAAGAACGGAACGTACCTTCTGATCAAACCTTCCGACTCCCGCGAGAGGACAAGCTCCTCAGGGAAATACAGACATTCGCGCCAGTTCACGATCTTACGGTAGGTGTCGGTCGTGTCCTCGGCGCAGAATGGGGGCCAGCCAACCAAGCACTCGAACATGATAGCACCAACAGACCACCAATCACACAGGTAAGTGTATCCCTGCCCGTTGAAAATCTCCGGCGCAATGTAA